AATCATCCCTCAAATCCTTCTCCTTCGTTGTGCCTTCATTTTAGGGTTTTGGGCATACACACACATGTGCCTGGTATGTGTCTCGGTCTGGGACTTAAACTGAATGGTCAGCCACGTGGGATCAAGCTGTCTAACCACCAGGCCTTGGACTTGCTCTTGTGATTTTAATTTTAATTATCCTAATGCTAATGAAATTCACTATCTTTTCATGTTATTTGTTTGTCAACCATAAATCCTCTTTGGTGAGGTGTCTATTTGTGTCTTTTTACCTTATCTTATTTTAAAATAATATTTTTTTATATGCATTCAATCACATTGTTTAGCTTACAAAGTGAACATTTCAATATATGAACATTTTCTCCCAGTCCAGTTGATCAAAATATCTTCAACAGATAACACTACACCTCCCTGTCCCGTCAATGCTCTGCCTCTGCATCCCTCCTCCAAATGACCTTCCCTAGGCCCCACTCCTCCACGCACACTACATCTGGCATTTACACCCATCTCTTGTGTTTGTACATCTTTTAGTCAATCAGTTTCAGACATAGAGTGCGGACACTCGGTATATATTAAGTGGGGACACTCAATGTCTCTCCTTCAGAGCCTGGCTTGCTTCACTCAGCAGTAAATCTTCCATATTCTTCCACTTTCTGTCAAAAGCCAGGGTTTTGTTGGTTTTAATGGCTGAATAGTATTCCACAGTGCTGGATCAATTTACATTCCCACCAGCAGTGTAAAAGAGTTCCCCTTTCACCACACCCCCACTAACACTTATCATTTTTTTTTTTAATCTTAGACATTCTGACTGGGATTAGGTGGTACCTCATTTTTGTTTTGATTTGCATTTCCCTTACTATGAGGGATGTTGAGCATTTTTTCATATGCTTTTTGGCTATTCGTATGTCATCTTTAGAGAGTGTTTTTTTCAACTCCTCCCATCTTTTAATAGGGTTGATCATCTTTTTTCCAAATAGCGGCTTGAGTTCCTTGTGTATTCTGGTTATCAGTCCCTTATCTGGTGCATAATTTACAAAAATATTTTCCCATTCTGATGGCTGTCGATTCACACTAATTACTGTGTCTTTTGCCATGCAGAAACTTCTTAGTCTGATGTAATCCCACTTGTCTATTTTAGGGATTATCGACTGTTTTGGCGTCTTATTTAAGACTACATCAATGTCTCCCAGAGTTTCTCCAGTATTTTCCAGGAGCAGTTTCATAGTTTGAGGTCTTAGATTTCAAACCAGTGGGAAAAGGAAAACCTCTCCAGCAAATGGTGCTGAAAAAACTGGATTTTCACTTGCAGAAAGATGAATCTGAACCCCTACCTCTCACCTTTTTACCTTATCTTGATTGGGTTTTGTTTTCTTACTGTTGAGTTTTGCAAGTACTTTATATATTCTGAATACAAGTCATATCTCAGACATCTGCTTTGCAAATGATGCATTTCTTTTTTCAGTTTGTAGCCTTCCTTCTCATTCCTTTAACAGTTGTCTTTCATAGTACAAATAATTTTGCTGAATCTAATTTTCAAATTCTTTCTTTTATAAATTGTATTTTTAGCATCATGTGTAAGAACATGATGCTCTGCCTCATTCCAGGTCACAAAGATTCCTCTTTCTCTCTCTTCCTAGATGTTTTATAGTTTTACTTTTAGATCTAAGAGTAAATTTTTATTTTTGTATACTCAAGACTTAGATTAAAATTTCTTTTTTTTAAAGAATTATTTATTTTGTTAATTATTATTATTATTATTTGCAATAGGGCACACATGCTCACTGGAGAAAGAGAGAAAGTGAGAAAGCAAGCCTCTAAGTCCGGGACTCGAACTGTGGTCGACCATGTAGAAATCTAGCACCTTAACCACCACGTCACATGCTGGCCCCAGTTTTTTCTTTCTCAAAGTTTATTTATTTTTTCTTCTGGAGAGAGAGAAAGACCTTACCAATAGGATCTTTCATGATTTCTGCATGATTTATCCCCAATTTCGGCTGACCGAGGTGATGGGCATGCTCATGTGTGTCTGGTGCTCAGGAAGGTTCTGGGATGTGAATCCCAGACCTTTCCTATGTGGGTTCAGTTGGGTTCCTACTGTGCCACTACCTGATCCCCATTTACTTCTACTTTTTTTTACATTTTTTATGAAAGTTAAGCAAGGGAATGTGGGTAACGTAGTAAGTCAAAACTCAAAAAAGGTTAGTTCTTTCTCTTGAATATTTACTGCTTTGGATTAAATGAATACCTTCAGGGGTTCCATGCCCATTGAAGCCCTGTGTCTATCTAGGCAGAGGCACAGGTCACCTTACATTTTTTTTGGATTCCTTGGGTGAATTGTGAGTCCACAGTACAGTTAGCAACTTCACTCATATCTAGCTTTTTATAAATGTATTTCCTGTGAATCTAAGTGTTGCCCTGTTTTCCCTTTCCTCCCCCTTTCCCATGTGTGTGTGTGTGTGTGTGTGTGTGTGTGTGTGTGTATGTGTTTTGTCAGAAGATTTATCTTTTCTGTCTCCCTTTTTAGCTCTTTCCTTTTGCAGGAGCAGGCTTAGCTGATAACTTTGCTGATCTCCTGTTGGGTTCTTCCTTCAAACCCTTTAGGCAGGGTACCCTCCTTTAGGGCATCTTGGTGGTGGGGAGGTTCTGTGCAAGTGCCTGAGGGCTCATGGTGCAGAGCCTTTGAGGGGACAGGCTGCTTGGCCCCTGCACACCTCCTGCCCTGGACCACGAGCTCTTATCTGGACGGTTTATCTTGCTGACCTTGTGATGCTATGACTCTCTTATCACTCAGTGTCAGTAAGGCAGGCTCCCAGGACCCCATCTTTCACATCGTAGAATTTAGCGCTGCAGCAATGGTACTCTTATCTTTTTTGAGGTAGCTGGGCCCCAACTGTTCTTTTCATGTCAATGGTCATGCTGAAAGCTCTTAGATTCCAATCCGGCCTGCCAGTTCAGTCCAGTTCCTAGCAGTCTTCACCCTCTCTGCTGCTTCTTGTGGACCAGGTTGACAGAGCAGGCTGACTACTCTCTCCACACACCCAATAACTGTTTCCTGAGAAGAAGGGTTGCTCTAATATGTTCCATCTTTAGGGTTTGTGGGGGATGGTGAAGAAGCAGTGTGGCCTTAGGTGCAACTCAGTGTGCATTCTGTTCTAACGAAACATACACATAGTGTCTCTGTTCATTGTATTTTACATTTTGACATTCTTACCTAATTATACAAATATAAAATTGAAGTTATGAAAAAAAGATAAAAGTCAGGTCCAGTTATGGTGGCTTAGGTGGTAGGGCACTGCTGCATGATATTGGAGCCATATAAAAAGACCCTGGATTCAGCTCCCTGGTCATCCTGACCATGATGGCTATGCCTGCTGGCATGCTTTTGATCCTGACTGACCGCAGGGCTCGGGGAAGGATCGCAGCATGGCAAGATCTGTCAGAGGTCAATCTTTCTCTCTCAGTAAAATGAATTAAAAAAAATCCTTTTGGGACTAGCAGCTAGTGTAATGGCTATGTTGCTGGACTCCCATGTAGTCGACCGTGGTTAACCCGGTGGTTAAACTCACACTGGGCGTGTGTGCGTGTGTGCCCAAGATCCCGAGAGGAAAATGGAGGAGAAGGGATTGCTGCATGGCCATCCCCCCTGGGGGCTGATTTCTCACTTTCTGTCTCTCTGTCTTTCTGGCGAGCATATGCGCGCTATAGCAAAAAGAAAAAAAAAAACTCTCCAAAAAATAATTCTTTTAATGACTATACCACATCATAACATAAAGTAAGTTATTTTATTTTTGAGATTCTTTCAGCTTTATTTGTTTATGCATACGTGTTGCTTTTTTGGCATAGCATTGTCTTATATATGATGCTTTCCTTATTTTATGTCTATGTTGATCGGTGGCAAAGCGGTAAGTCCAGACCTGTGGGCCGGCAGGCAGTGGGGAAGGTGGAGATGCTGGGACCCTGCTCTGAGGGTTAGTATTAGCAGCGTTTTCTTGGACACAGTGACCATGGTGCCATGCCTATTTTCTTAGGTCTCCAAGGGGCCATGCTGGTGCTTTCATGGGGCCCTTTAATTGCAGGCTCCAGAGTGTCGTTGCCTTGTTTCCCTTGTTCTGGGGTGTATGGCTGGGAGCTACTTGTCCCAGTTCAGCTACTGGTGGCTGTTGCAGGTCACTTGGAGGAGGAAATTTTGGAGAACTTGACCTAACTCAAGTGTTGCTCTTCTGGAAGAACTGGAAACACCATGTAATTTCTGAAGAAGATGACAGTTCAATTTGGATGGCTCTGATGTAGTTCTAGGGTGAGGTTTACACTGGTGTTCTTGGGGAACCTTCTCCTGAATTAAAATGACTCTTGTACATAGCTCTAGACAGGGGTTATCTCTTCCTTCTGTTGTGATTGCTGAGAGGGACAAACCCATCCTGAGGGCTCCTGAGGGTGGATGCCCTCTCTGGCTGCAGACACAGTACTGAGGAGGATGATGATGGGCAGGAAGGTATAAAGGACACTAGACTAGAACAACCCAGGCTGGAGACCATCTCTGGAAACAGAGTATGTATGTTGTATAGATGAATTACAGTGGCCAAAACACATGTGAAAGGGGAAAGGGGGAGAAGTAGGAGGAGGAGGAGAAAGAAGAGAGAGCAGTGGGGGAAGAGCATTCTTCAGTGCTGATATTACCCTATATATTAGGCAGATATAAATATTTTCTTTCATAATTCGTAATACCACACAATGTCCAGGGAAATCAGCGGTATAAATAGTTCGGCAAGGAAGGAGGCTTGTGCAATCCTTCATCAAAGCTAGTGAGGAGGGTCTGGGTGTGGGGAGTGTTCTGGAGAAATGGGAACAGAGTGAGGAGTCACACACGTACTCTGGAGGCTGCTTCTTTATTGAGTTTTTTTTTTTTTTTTTGGGGGGGGACAATCATGTGAGTCTGCCTCTGAGAGCATCCTCAGGCTCAGACTGGGGCCAGGCTTTTGAAAAACCCAGGGGCTACCCAGGAGAGCTCTGGCTCTGAGACTCTCTTTTAGGCTGGTTGGTCTTCAGCAGCTACTTGCTTTGTAAGATTTTATTAATCCAGGGAACATATGGGGAGATTCGAGTGAAGACAGCAGGAGGCTTTGCATCAAAACGTCCATGAGACACAATACCTTGGGCTACTCCAGCACACAGAAGAGGACCCCCAGAATCACCCTGTGGGTTAGAGAAAGCAATCATGAGCAGAGATCATCCTTCCCCCCCTACTCTCACCTCATATTGGTCCTATCAGCACCTGGCAAGCCCCAGGACACCCAGAATTGGGCCTGGAATCCCGGCTCTCCATGGAATCATATATTAGGGGGTAAATGCCCTCCTCATCTCTCTGGAAAAGATCCACAGCTCTGATCCTCTCCCCCTCCACCTTCTTCCTTTCCCCTCTGGATTCATGTATGACATCCTGGAAGGACTAAAAGCAGAACTTGGGAACGGGGAGATGAAACCCTCCACCTCTAGAAGGAGGATTCCAGTTCCTCCAGATCTGGAAATCTATGAATACAGACACCACCCCCTTCAACACTGAGTCTGTAGCCAGAGGGGCATCTGCCCTCACGAGCCCTGAGAATGGGTCTGTCTATCTTAGCAGCCATAACAGAAGGGCGAGATCAGCCCTGTCTGGAGCTGTGTACAAGAGCCATTTTAGCCTCATCAGGACCAAAATTCTCCCTAGAATTAGCACTTATTTGGAGGAAGGGCAGGTCCTTGATGGGCACACAAGACCGAGAGAGCTCAGTTGGTACCAAGTGGTGTTGACCTGCATTGACTGGCTGCCCAGTATTAAGGGGTCAAGCAGCTTCTTGACCTCTCCCCGTCCCAGGATGTGTAGGTATGTGCTCACCTTGTATGCTGATCTTATCTTCTTGGGGTTGCCTACACAAATTTCTAAGTTGTGATTATAAAATAGATAGTTGTTGCAGGCCTCCCTATCCATGAGTCTCAGCTTCACCTCTCTCAGAGTATCTGATAAAGGCTTGGTCACTCCTGTTTGCCCCCAGCCAGCAGCCCGGCACATTCTTCCAGGTGGTATAAAGGTAGACTTGGTGGGCAGAGGAATTGTCCCCACGGCAGGAGTCATCTTGGCTTTTGTTTGTAGCTGTGTGGGGAGGGAAAGTAGATGGATTTCTAGCCTCAATAGAGGCTAAGGTGTGGAGGAGGATCCCTGGGAGCAGGGCCAAGAGTTTCTCCCCAGTGGGGTTGTGATAACATGGAGTGGGAAATGAACTGAAAGAGAATGACAAGGGCATAGGCACTGGAGAAGAGTTAAAGAAAGGGGAACTGAGAAGTGCAAGAAATATAACGGCACCTTCAGTAACATGATGTCATTGAGATGGGTAAAAGGGTTGTACTTTGGGTGAGCGAATTGTTCTGTGACTTCTATTTTCTGCCATGTGGGTTCTTCCTTTTTCATGTCATGAGCTCCAAGGGTGACAGTAATATGCCTGTGAAGAAGGAAAAAAGAGTCAGGAAAAGGTTCTGGTTTCTGAAAAAGGCCCATTATGAGCAAGGGACATCAGATGCTTTTCTTTCCCAGTGTAGGGTCACTTGAAGGGCTTGGACCTCATCAAGACCAAAGGTATCCCTAGAAATTACACTTATTTTGGAGAAAAGCAGGTCTCTGACAGGCACTCAAGACCGAAAGAGCTCTGTTGGCACCAAGTGGTGTTGATCTGCATTGATTGGCTATCCCGTATAAAGCCTTGGGTTCTGGAGATGGAGATGACAAATGAAAAGGCCTAGTTCTTCCTGAAACCCAGAGCCAACCATCTAGAGATGAGCATCCTACCTCTAAGATGTGTATAACTCTGGTTCCTACAATTCCCTAAATGAACAGAGAACAAATCAAAAGTTTCTTACCTTCCTTTACAATGAGCAGCTGTCATCACGAATTGTTCACTTATGAGAAACCCACCACAGAAGCCAAGACCACGGTCAGAAACAATTTCCAGATGGGCCATGTAGGGGCGAGAATGTGGAGTGGACTCAATGCCACCGATAATCTCTTCTGAAACAGAGAACCCCAGGCATTCAAACACAGACTTAGAAAGTCTAAAAGCAGCACTGGGCAAGGGAGATGGGGTCAAAGAGCAGACATTCCCTGAGGCCTCACTCTTACCTCTAATGTAGCTCAACCCCTCCAGGTATCTTTTTTTTCTTTTTTCTTTTTTTTTTTTTTTTGCTTTCCACTCACCCCAACTTGTCAATCCTCATCTTACTTTTCAGAACACAGTGGCCAGTCTTGATTGTGATTTTGTGATTGTCATTTCATTTAGACAATTCTTCATGTCCTCATCTTAAACTACTCAACACATGAGTAAGGCTGGATAAAGACCAGGAGTCAGATTTATAGGTATTTGAGGAAAGCAGGTTAAGAGAAACTTCCAAAGCTACTTTTTTGGATTACTTCTCCACTCAAGATTTCTTGTCCCTGGGAGACTCTCATCAACTGTAGAAAAAATTATGACTCTTCCATGTGGAGATCCTCCCAGGAACATTTATAAAGTGATCCTGCAACCTTATTTTAAGGTCTGTGCTGACCCAGGCCAAAAATTTTGAATTAGGAGCTGAGGACCCAGAGGTAGGTAGTTATACTCTTGACTCACCCGCTCCAGCTTCAGGCAGCAAGAGAAAGACCAGCAAAGGGAGTAGAGCCTGCATTTTCCCAGAGTTGCTGCCCATGGTGAGCTTCTCCCGTCACACACCTCTTTGGCCTCTGTTTTTATAACTCTAGAAGAGTTATAAAAGAAAAGAGAGGGAAACCACAAAAACCGCCTAGTCACGTTTTTGTCTTTCACTATGGCCTGGTTATCTGTCTCATCGGAAATTCTCATGGCTCTGCTCTCTGTTCTGCTGGCATTGAACTTATGGCTAAATCTTGAGTCCTGAGAAATGCACCTTCTTCATCCAAAGCAGCTCTCAAGAAGAATAGTAACAAAGATGGAGGAGGAAATTTTAGGTGCTGCAGGAATCTGGAACAGTGATGAACAAACTTTTTCCTCTATGTGGCCAGATAGTAAGCACTTTTAGCTTTGTGGGCCAAATTGTCTTTGTGGTCACTATTCAATCTTGCATTGATTGAGATAATTTGGCTTTTCATTTTTAGTTTGTTAATATGGTAAATTACACTGGTTTATTTTTGAATGTTTGACTTTGTAATCCTATCCTCAACCTCAATCATGAATTAGTATCACTTTTTATGTTGTTATACTTGATTTTATAACATTTTGTTAAGAATTTTTTTTTATCAAGTTTTGTGGTAGGCAGCTTTTAGGATGATCCTCCATGATCTCTGCTTCCTGGGACTTATGCTTTTGTGTAATCTCTTCCTGAGTGCAGGCTATACTTAATGAGATACTTGTTTATTTGTAAAATAATTATTATTTTAGTTTATACATTCAATCATTGTACATCACTACAGGTGTACAGTGAATTACCTAACACGAAAACACTTCATACCAGTCCAGTTGAAGATATCATACACACTCTCATCAACAGACAATCTTCCATTTCTATGTCCCTTCAATGTCTTGCCTCCATACTTCTAATTAGTAGAACATTGTATAAGTTATAGAGTGTCACGTTCAAGATTAAGTTGCAAAAAGCATGTGACTTTTGTTTGGGGGGGTCTTTCTATCTCTTGTCTTACTCATGTGTACCGGGAGAAGCAAGTTATTATGTATAGCCCTGTGGAGAGGCCCCCTCATGATGTGATGATGAACCAAGGCCTTAAGTTCCATATCCTCTAAGGATCTGAGGTCCCAGACTGTGTGGAACTGAAGTTTGTCAAGAATCATACCAATGATCCATATCTCCAGCCTGTTGAGAGTCTCATTGAGAAGGAAGCTGACCATTTACAGTATGGCCAGCAAAGGGCTTCTAGATGGTGAGAGGCATTGGAGCTGCTGGAGGAGAAAGTGAGAGACCAGGTATGGAGACTAGGAAAGAGAAAACTGAGGACTTGTGAATGACTTCAGATTTCATGAGGACTACCATGTGGGAGAAGGAGCAGTCTTGCTCAATGGGGCTCAAAAGACCAGGGTTGGAAGTACAAGGAAATAGTTTTCATTTGACATGAGGATGAGTTAGCAGTCAGATACCTCAGTGTTGATAGGTTGCTTAAGTGTAATAATTAATCAATAATTGATAATTAATCAATAATCATGTTTAGAAAGAGTCTCAGAGCCAGATGGTGGCACAGTGGCAACAATGACACTCTGTGAGGCTGATTTACACGGGAATGTTTTGTATATGCTGAGTATGCTGGGCACATGCATGCCCATGATCTGGGGCTGACTGGGTTCAGGGTGGACTGTGCTGTCAGGACCTTATTGTGGATTCTGTCTCTTTGTCTGTCTGTCTGTCTCTGTTTCTCTTGCTCATGGAAGAAATAAATAAATAAAAAATTTAAAAAGAAGCATCTTGATATACTCTTTGTGTTCTTTAAAGGAGACTAATGCATGAGGGTACAGGGAAGGCAGTGGGGCTTCACCTTGAAAATTCTAACCATATTGAAGTTTTCCTTGATTTACACCTTCCGTAGCCATAACAAGATGCAATGACCATTCGCTTTTCAGAAATCCGTGACTGTATCCATAAAAATACTTTTGAAAATTAAGTTGACTATCAAGTACCTATGTTTGTTTCATGTGTAAAGAGAACTTTCCCAATGAGATTGTTTATTTCCAAGAACAAGGATAGTTTATTTTTTCTGTGCTTTAGTTGGAGTCTGGTAGTTCTGTTACATTTAGCTTTACTTGCAAATTTTTCTTTGCTTCTAATGAGAAATAGTGATTGACTATTTAAAAAAATAATTAGAATAATATTAATAATGATTGGGGAAAACCTAGAAAAGATATTGAATGTTTAAGTGGGGAGATTAATGTCTCTGTATTGACTGACATGCATGGCATTCCCTTTTGAAAAAGCATTGTAATACACTGTTAAGTTATATGTAATCCAATGCAATATAAAGAAGATTATGATGATTAAAAAAAAAGAGTGAAGTGGCACATTTAAATGTTTCTCCATGGTAGTAAAAAAAAATTTTTTTTTTTCTTTGCTTCTGATCTTCATTGTAGTTTAGTCTCTAGTCATTGGAATTCTGGGATCTCTCTCCTTTATGCCTGAGGCATGTGCACTTTTTCTCTCTCGCTCTCTCTATCTCATCATGCTGCACAAAGGTGTCAGTGAACAAAGAAGTCAGAGAGGTAAAAGGCTGAGGAAAGGCTTGGATTCCCATGTCTCAGGAAGAGAACTCCCTCTGGGGTAAGAGGTGGTGAGGAGAGTTCTTTGTTTCTTTCTCTCTACAGTGGCAAGCTCTTTGCAGACCTGAGAACAGTTGGCTATGTGTTGTTTCCTGCTCTGCCTCAGACTCACTCCTTTTCATATTTTTCCATTACCCATGTTGGGCAGTCTTTAAGTCATCCCTTTCTCATGGGTATGAGTAGAGTTCCTTATGATGCTGCTAGTCCCTCTATCGGCTCTCAGCATCAGCCAGACCAGCAACGAACAGTTCTCTGCATCTTAGAATCAAATCTACCAACCATGATCATCTTGTATCTGTTAACTTTTGGAGGCCTGTAATGGCACCAACTGTTCTTGTCACATGTCTACATGAAGCTTCTTCAGTTTGTGGTTGCTGTCAGGAATGGAGTTAGCAAGCATTTGAGCCACAGCGGCAAGAGTAGAGGGCTCAGTCTCAAGGCGTCTTTTATGCTCTCCCATCTGTGGTTTCAATTAGTGGGAGTACTCCTTAACTGAGGGGATCAACTTGGGACTCTTCATTTGACCCTCCGGAATCGGAAATTAAGGTTTTTCCAGATAACGATCTTTTCTTTTAGTCACTCTTTATTCCTGCATTTTCTTCTTTCTTTCTCTGGCCCTTTCTCTCTCTGTCCCCTTCTTTCTTTTTCCTTCTTTCTCTTTTTCTTTCTTTCTTTCTCTTTCTTTCTTTCTTTCTTTCTTTCTTTCTTTCTTTCTTTCTTTCTTTCTTTCTTTCTTTCTTTCTTTCTCTCTCTCTCTCTTTCTTTCTTTCTTTCTTTCTTTCTTTCTTTCTTTCTTTGTAGAGATTTTTGCCATAGAGTGCATGAAATTGCTGGAGAGAAAGAGAAAAACGGAGACAGTGAAAGGAAAAGTGAGAAATCTCCCCCAGGGGAGATGGCCATGCCACAGTCCTTTCTCCTCCATTCTCTTTTCAGGATCTTGGGCATGCATGCACATGTGCTCAGTGTGAATTTCAGGCCATTAGATCTGGGACTCGAACTACGGTCAGCCATATGGGAGTCCAGCAACGTAACTGTTATACCATCTGCTGGCCCTGCATTTTTCCTTTCTTTTTTTTTTTTTTTTTTTTTTTTTTTTTTTTTTTTTTAGGCGGGTTTTTTTTTTTGGTTTGTTTTTTAGAGAGAGATTTTTGCTATAGGGCATGTGCACTCACTGGAGAAACAGAAAGAGACAGAGAGACAGGAAGCAAAAAATCACTCCCCATGGGGGATGGCCATGCAGCAATCCCTTTTCCTCTATTCTCCTCTAGGGATTTTGGGCATGCATATACACGTGCCCAACATGAGGTTTAAGCCTCTGTGTCTGAACTTGAATCATGGTTGGTAACGTGGGAGTCCAGCGACATAACCATTACACCACCTCTGATTCTCATTTTTTATTTCTTAACACAACCACCCAGGATAAATTTTCTCTTTTCTCTGGTTGCTATGCATGATTGATTTAATTATGAACTTTTGACTGGCCTATTGATGCTGCCATGAAGGGATTTAAGCTCTAGGATATCTTGTGATTTCCCAGTGTTTGTAAGGAAATGTCACAAAGGGAAGAGAGTAGTGGATTTTCCAGGACAAGCATCTCTGAGTCAGGGCAAAGACCACATTGTCAAAGTTTGGGAAGAGTTTACTATTTATAAAAGCCTCATTTGAGCCAGGCTTTTGGGAGCTAGGTGCATTAACTACATGGTTAAGGGAATCATCTAGAATCATTCTGTGTTGGAATTCTGATAGCATCCCTTACTAGCTTTGTGACTTGGGGCAAGTTTCCTTATCTCATTTATTTCCTTCCTCTCCTATCTGTAAAATGGGAATAATAATGGTGAATTAAGTAAAAGATTTAAAGAATAATTTATCTGGCATACTAAGTATTCAAAGTTAGTTATTATTAATATTAACATCATTAGCCTGAAAGATCACTAACCTAAGGGCCAGTAGATGGTATGGTGACTAAGGCACTGAACTTCCACATAGATGACCACGATTTGAGTCTTGGACATGGTAGCTTGTTTTCTCACTTTCCCTCTCTCTCTCTTTCTCCCTCTCTCTCTCTAGTGAGCACACAAGCTCAATAGCAAGTTAGAGAAAATAAATAAATAATTCTTTAAAAAAAATCAGTAACCTCTTCCAAAAGTTTGTGAATCAGAATTGTCTTCTTTTCAGTTCCACCAGGATTTTGAAAGCCAGAGGAAATAGCATCCCACTAAACACACACACTTGGAATACTTTTCCACCTACCCCAATCCTATTACAGTGTCTCAGGGATCTGGGACCTTCCTCTGCTCTAGTTCCTACTCTGAGGAGTAGTAGTTTTGGGCCCTGGGTTTCTCAGCCTTGTCTGTGTCATGCTCAGGGAGCTGAGGACTGAAGGTGGTTAGTTGC